GAGAGAGAGAGAGAGAGAGAGAGAGAGAGAGAGAGAGAGAGAGAGAGAGAGAGAGAGAGAGAGAAAACTTTCGATAAAAGCTTGTAAGCTGTGTTGATTGGTCTGAGGAATAGAGCAATAATGCAACTGGCAGTTTCCTCTGGGGCTTCTTCTTCTATGGGTGGCTTGTGGTGTAATAGCAAAGTAGCTATGGCGGCAGGCAATAGTGTGCGGCAGCAGCTCACTGTTGCCAGGGTTCTGCCTGCAATTGCATTCCAAAACTGCAGCCTTGCTGTGGGAGGAATGGGAGAGAGAGGTGGTGAATATGTGGAGAAGATTGCAGTTACCACAGGACTGGGATCGTCAGTTGTGCTGCCGAAACTGCAGCTCGAGGTGCGAGCGCTGTCAGGTTCATCCTCGCTGTTGGGTGGTGGTTGGGGGCTCTTTGACGTGTCAGATCCCGATGTTGTTGTGGATAAGGATATGGCTAATCATGATAAATTGCATGGGTATACAAGGGGGGTCGGCAGGGGGTCCCATCCTTACCCCCTCAGCTTGCAGAGTCAGCAGCATCCGCAAGGGCTTTGGGGATGCAGGGGGACATGGGGTAGGCGGGTAAACACAAAACAGCCTTTTTTAGGAAAGTTGGATCGATACGGACTGCGGACATGTCAGCAGCAGCAGGTGACATGCACAAAACAACCTTGTTTAGGAAAGTTACCATTGCTTGGGCTGCAACTGCATCAAACAAAGACGGTGCCTTGGGCTCCGGCGGGCTAGGGCAACCGGTGGTGGAGGAGGCGGAGGAGGAGGAGGAGGAGGAGAAGGAGAAGGAGGTGGTACCTCCCCTCTCAACAAGTGCAGCATCTGGTAAAGTAGATAAGAGTGTAATGCGGTCATTGAAGGGCACGGGGGTGCCTAGTTTCTATCAAACTTTGTCGTCGTTGGGGCTGGGACCTCTGAAGAGGAGGAACGTTGGCACGCTGCAACTCAACATTGGTTTGTATTGCAATCAAGCATGCGCTCACTGCCACGTGGAAAGCTCTCCTCTGCGCACTGAGATGATGGATGAGAGGACGGCAGAGCATATCGTTAATCTCCTAGAGAGGAGCAAAGAGATCGCCGTTGTAGATCTGACTGGCGGTGCTCCGGAGTTGAACCCTGCGTTCAGATACCATGTGAAAGAGGCCCGGCGACTTGGGAAAGAAGTGATCGATCGGTGTAATCTGACGGTTCTCTTCGTGGAAGGCCAAGAACACCTAGCCGATTTCCTGGCGGAGAATCAGCTTCGCGTCGTTGCCTCCCTCCCTTGCTACACCGCGGAGAACGTCTCCAAGCAACGAGGCGGAGGGGTGTTTGAGAAGAGTATCGCAGCCCTCCAGACTCTCAATTCTCTGGGTTATGGCAAAGAAGGCTCCCCTCTGCAGCTTGATCTGGTATACAACCCCTTGGGGGCTTTCCTTCCTGCAGCACAGGACGCCTTGCAGGATGCCTACAAGACGGAACTGTTCGAGGCGTACGGCATAACCTTTAATCACCTGTTCACTGTCACCAACATGCCAATCAAAAGGTTCGCCGACTATCTCTATCGCAAAGGGGAGATGGAATCCTACATGAACCTGCTGCTCAGCAGCTTTAACCCAGCGGCGGTAGAAGGCGTCATGTGTAGGGATATGGTCAGCGTCGGATGGGATGGGGCTTTGTTTGACTGTGATTTCAACCAGCAATTGGGCTTGGGAGTGGGAGAGCAATCCGTGCCATCGACCGTGTTCGATCTGCGGTCGTTCGATCAGCTGATCGGTCGGCCAATCGCCGTAGACGATCACTGTTATGGCTGCACGGCGGGCCATGGCTCGAGTTGCACTGGAGCTTTGACCACATGATTGAAGTAGTAGTACTGCACACTGGTAGAAAAAGAAAAAAAAAATGTTATTCCTAAGTCGTGCTCCCACTTAACTAACAGACATTCATGTAGGCTTCCTGCAAGCCATTCATTCATTAAATAAAGTCTATTAAACACACGACGAAATGGGAAGTGTTAAAAGTCAGTTGTTGCATTGATCAGCTAGTCGGCAGCCAAACCACCAGGGGGGATGCGTTGCTATGGCCGCACGACAGGCCATGGCTCAAGCTGCTCTGGAGGTCTGGGCACCTGATTGAAGTTTGCAGCTTTGCACATAAGTCGGATGAGCCAGAACGAGCCCTCGTAATGACCATCAGCCAGCCAGTTGGCACAACAGCAGGTGATGCCTCAAAGCTGCACTGGTGGACCATGGGCAATGATGTGCTTGTTGCTGCAAGTTCCATCGGAAGCGATAGCATCGTCTGCAGGTGAATTTGTCCGGACAAGATGTCTCAAGCCGCAGGTGCATTTTTACCGAGATAACTCAAGCTGCAGCTGCAGGTGCATTTTTACCGAGATAACTCAAGCTGCAGGTGAATCTTTACGGGGGCGTCTTAAGCTGCAGGTGAATTTTTACCGAGATAACTCAAGCTGCAGGTGAATCTTTACGGGGGCGTCTTAAGCTGCAGGTGAATTTTTACCAACATAACTCAAGCTGCAGGTG